ATGGGTCGCCCGTCTGAAAAATTGGAAAAGTACGCGGTCGTTTCATCCGTGAAAAAAAAAGGCCCCGAATAACAACGGCGATGTAACATTTCAGTGCTGAAATGATTGTCCACGGTTCTAGATCCCGAGTGGAGCGAAAGAGCCTACGGTTTTTACAAACATCCGTGGACAACTTTTTTACGGTCGTGAACATCGTTTTGTTTTGCGTACGCGTATTGCGGGCGTTGGCGTACGGCACCCGCGGCGCCACACTATTCCGAAATATCAAAAAAAAAACAAAACAGTCGTCCATTTCCGAGCGATACTAGTCATTGAATTCAACGTGCCGAGACGCACGGGTTCGTTTCACATCTCGTTGTCTTGTTCGGTCCGTTCGCCGGCGTCTCTCAGCTCTGAACGTCCGACGATTTCGCCGGCCGCGTTTACGTGCGGCCCTGGCGTTTTAACGTCTCGGCCCGTAATAACGCTGCGACTGCGTCCGACGAGCCGGCGTCCCGTTCGCGTTGCCGGTGCCCATTACCGGCGCGATTCCGGCCACTCCGACCGACGCGATCCCGCGGGACCGCGGCGTTTCACGCGACGGCGGCGGGCGGGCGACACGCGCGCGCCCCGCAGTGTATAACTTTTAAATTAACACTGTCGCGTCGCGTTATTAACGCGGCCGCCACCGTCACGTGTCGAACCGTACACAGTGCAGCCGACGCGATATTAAACAATATTTTAACGACCGTAATGACATTTTAAAAGGCACCGCGTTGTTGTCGTTATTGTTATAACGACATCGCATTGTCATAGAGCGCTTTTAGTTTTCTTCCGGTGCACCGCCGAGCCCTCCGGCTGTCTGCCCGGCGGTGGCCGACCTTTTCCGTAAACGGACCGTGTCACTCGACCGACGACCCCGGGAAAATTAACCTCGCGTTGTATTATTATTATTATTGTTATTATCGCCGTGTTCGGTCGTCGTCGGTATTGTTATCGTTATTGTTATACCCTCGCGCCGGACGGAGCGTCGCAAAAGAGCGCGGGAAACAAACGACGGGAACCGTTGCGCCGCGCGCGGGCTCGTCCGCGGAGTGCGTCCGCACGACCCGAGCCCGTCTCCGTAACCTTTGGCGGGCGCTACGAGCTATAAAACGGTCGAGAACCCGATAAAACGCGCGTCTCCAAAGCTCCGCGTTTCGGCGGTCGCGGGTCGTGTTTTTTATTTTCCGCCGTCACCCGCGGGTTTGCGCACATTTGCCGGTTCCGCGGCGGGACCGTTCGGTCGTGCGGTACGGCGTAATATTTGTTGTTGCGATCGTCGCGCGCTTAACGCCGCGTACCGACGCCGTCAGTGTCGCACCTGAGCCGGGTAAAAAACGGGTAAAGACGGGGATAAAAAAAAAAACCACCGTTTTTGTCGATATTATTTTAAATGAAATGGCGTTTCGGACGGGCACGTTTCTCGTGTCCCGGAACGTCGAAAGCCCGGCACGGAGGCCGGCGTAGACGAACGCGCGTTACCGTGCGAGGACGGGGCGGCCGCTGGAACGCACCGGAACCGATAACGCAGCGCACCGGCGTACGGTTCCGCTGGGAGAGGGGGGGGTCGATCGAAAACCGAGAGCCGTCGCCGTCAACGCCGTCGCCGCCGTGCTCGTCCCCCCCTTGGCGGGCGCCCCGGCGGCGCGGCCGTACGGCCCGGGGTCACCCGACCGCGCGCCAATGTTCGACTTATCAAATGTTTAAGCGCTCGTCACGCGGTATCCGTTCGTCCCCGACCGCTTCGCGGCGGGGCGGGGAACGCGTGTTCTTAGTGAGTTTCGAAACTTCTCGCCGAAATCGTCCGGGCGGTTTCCAAGAGAACACGGGCGAACCGGGTACGGTGTCCGGCGCCGGAGCGGCGCGCGCGTATTAACCCGTGCGCCGGTGGATACATACGTAAACTATGAAAAATCGATCGCGGAAATCGATACGGCAGCGAAATAACGCGCCGAGTACCCCCCCCCCCCCCCCCNCCCCCCACCCTTCCCCAACCAACCCCTCCGACCACGGCCCGCGATCCGAAACCCGCGATTGGCCGACGAGACGAATAATAATCACGGTGATAATAATATTTTTTCGGCGTTTCATGGCCGTAGCGGAAAAATCGGGAAGCGCGCGTATTTCTTAATCAGCTTAACGGCCGGTACGGGGCTCGCGCCGCGGTACGGACGGGGGCGGGGGGCGAGGGGCCGAAGATTTTCGAAAGTTTGATTAAAAAGTTTTTAACTTTCGCGCTAATGCACGAGTCTCGTTTTACCGGCGGCGGCGGCGCGCGCGGCGTCCAACGATATCCCGTCACTTGCGTGCATTACGGTATGGCCCTGTAATCGCGAGTTATTTTCTGATTAGTCGTTATGCCGGCGAAAGTTTGACTCGTTGTATTTTTTCGGGAGGGGCTGGGAGGAGGGGAGGTGTTTACCAAAGCGATACGAACGGATGTTGCGATTTCGTCAGAGAACGTCCGTCGCGCTTTTACAATATACGGCTATATACATTTAACGGTTTTTTTTTTTTTATTTATAATTTTCACAGGACGCACAACCGAGAATACTAATTGTGAAATTTGACTTTTAAACTTTTCCGTTGAAGAAAAAAAAAAAAAAACTTAAGTTAAAATATAAGCAATCTCGTTTTTGGACGACATCGAAATTATGTACTTTTTTTTTTTTTTTTATTTTGTTCGGTACGAGTTCGAAAATACTCTGAATATTAATTAAAACGTATCCCCCCGTATTAAAATTCGCAACGTGATTAATTTCTTCTTTGAATATGACGAGAACCGCCGCCGCCGTTCCGTGCTGCTTTTTGTTTCATAATTAAATCGTAATTCGTATCACGTCGTCGGCCGTCGAAGAACGGAACGATAGAGCAAAGAAATACGTAATGATAATGATGATGATGATAATAATAATAATAATAATGATGAAGAATATTATTGTCGAAATAATAATTTGAACTTTGTAAGCGAAATAATATTGTATACATAATATCTTATTTAACGAAATCCTGCAGGTCCGCGCGACGACACACAATTACTGTCGTCAACTATCGTCAGTGGCCCGGTAACAGGAGGTGAAATATAATACCCCCCCCCC